AGTCATTTTTATTCATGGCTCATTTTTGGGATGCTCTTAATCACAAATATGTCATCTCCCCCAACAGCTTAGATTTTAGCAAGAAATCTGGCTAGGAGTGGCACATCTTGGTATGCTGGGAAGAATTACGTGCAGTTTGTCTAAACTCTAGTAAAAGAGCTGGTTAGAAAAATAGCACTAAGGTTAGAAAACCAGAAGAGCTATTGTAAGATGAGATACTGTTGATGGTTTTCCTGCTTGTTCATGTTGCATCATACTTTACTGTATTAAAATTCATTTTGAGTGTTCAGTGAGATAATAGGTACATGTCTGTGCTCTTAAGTTTTTAGTTTTTAATTGTGGGCTTTCTTTAATATGCTCTACTTTCATGCATGCTAACAGGGAGATTGAGGGTTACCCTTTCCTGATTTGCCCCATTACAGTTCTGCTGCTTCCCAACAATAGTTGCCATTGTTGCACTTAAGCTTTCTCTTGAAGGACAAAATAAGTAATTTCCGATGAAACTGCCACCTTTTATTGGTCTATCCCTCCACTTACTGCATCACAGCTGGGTGTCCTTGGCTCTTCCTAATGAATGGATATCCTGTACTAGTGGTAAATTTCTAAAGCAAAGCCTTGAGATTCTAAAAGCATTGAGGGGAAGATTATCTTAAACATTAGCACAAGACTCAAGCCAGGCACTGTGGACCAGGGACTGGCTTGTTAATATTTTGATATTTCAGGGGGTTGCAGGTGAGGAATTACACAGGGAAAGATGAGATCATTCTCTGATACATCTTGACTCCTTGCTTAAAATTGAAAAGGAGATTTTTTAGAACTGTTGAAACCTAACAAGTTTTACTTATGGAGGGAAAGGTTCAAAAGATAACTTCCAGTGCATTCAGCTTTCCTTATTCTTGTGTGATTGCTGCTGGGTTATAGTTAATGGTGTATTAAGTTTTTCCATGAACAGAAGGATAAATACCTCATTATTAAATCTCACCTACAAAATTATTTTCCCCTGAGTTAAAATTCAGAATTGGCTGGGCACGGTGGCTCATGCCTGTAATCCTAGCACTTTGGGAGGCCAAGGTGGGTGGATCACCTGAGGTCAGAGTTCAAGACCAGCCTGGCCATCATGGTGAAACCCCATCTTTAAAAAAAAAAAATTAAAAATTCAGAAGTAATTATTTTTCTAGATCAGGTATATACAAAATCTTTCCTTTTCAAGGTCAGAAATGTCTTTTATAAAGTTTCATTATATACTACTGCTTTAATTTAACTTAGCAATAAAAACAACAATTATTATAAAGACTGGATGTTATCTAACTAATGATCCCAGAGGTCACTACATTGATGTGATAGGTGAATTGGTTTTTTTATTTATAGTTAGGAAAGTAAGCAAACAAGCAAATATGTTTAAAAATTAGGCTTAAGATAGCAGTCCTTCATTTAAATTATGCTTAGTATTTGAAGTTTGTTTTGAAAGCTTAAGTGTCATAAAAAATCTTGTTTTAACTATTAATTCAATGAGGTATTACCTCACACAGTAAATTTAGGTCCTGCGTAGTATGCAAGTGTGGTTATTGGGATTAAAGCAGAAAGAGGTTCAGGAAGTTTTTGGTCATTTTGCAAAAAAGGGTCAAAAGAGGCCAGGCGTGGGGCTCACGTCTATAATCCCAGCACTTTGGGAGGTGGGTGGATCACCTGAGGTCAGGAGTTCAAGACGGGCCTGGTGAAAATGGTGAAAACTCAATCTCTACTAAAAATACAAAAATTGGCTGGGTGTGGTAGTGTTCACCTTTAGTCCCAGCTACTCAGAAAGCTGAAGCAGGAGAATTGCTTGAACCCAGGAGGTGGAGGTTGCAGTGAGCCGAGATTGAGCCACTGCACTCTAGCCTAGGTGACAAGAGTGAGACTCTGTCTCAAAAAATACACAAAAGGGTAATTGAGCTCATTTATTATGTAGTATGGGTAAGGATGACAGGTTGAGCCTTATATTAGAATACTGACTGAGAAGATCAGGACTTCTCCAACACTAGGCTAATGTTAGATTAGTAAAAAGTTTTTTGTTAGGACCATTCAGTGTGAGTTAGCATTTCCCCTTTCATTTGTAAGTTTGCTTGGAGGGCAGAATCTTGGTGTGCCCTTGGCATCTTGCTGCGGATTTGACTTGGGCCGGCCCTCTCCTGGCCAAGGCTGTTGTGTCTACACAGCTCTCAAGTCTGTTTTCATTTAGTACCAAAGCTTCTCTTTCTGTGAAGCCAGCAAGTTATCCAGAATAAATTTGTTATGAAAATTCACCTGAATTTTGGTCTTATTTTAAAACAATTTTTTGGTAAAATGGATGGATTAAAACACTCAAATGCTTTATTTTTGTTAACTTGGTTTTTTCTACCATAGGTCTCAACAAATGGCAGCTATTACATCAGACAGTGACGAGTCCTGCTGCTCCCTTACAGTGTCTGACAGACCACTGTGGATTCAGACTGGGAGCATTGAAGTTAACAGTGAAACGGGCAGGTCTGTCTGTTTTAAGCCCTGCCACAAAGTGAAGAGGGCATCATGTCATCACTTAATCATTCCTGAAGTAGATTAGGCTAGACTTAAAAGAATCATTAGTTCTTTTTCTTTAGTTTTCATTGGCCTTGGTAGCTGGGTGTGCCTCGGTAGGTGATAGTTTTAATGAATGAAAATAACTTTCCATTGATACTACCTGCCATGCTAAAAAGAGGAGTCTCTTATGAGCTTCCTTGAGTTGAGAGTAGATTCTCTTAAGGTGGTAGAAGTTGGGTGTTACCTTGTAGAATTATGTCAAATAGCAACTGAGTCTCCATGGAAAGTCGAAAATACTGGATTTCTTTTATCTTTTCACTATCTCAGTCTTTTTTTGTCACTTTTATATTCATTAAACTTCTTAGTCATTACTTCTTACTGTACATATAAGAATATATATATAAACACATATATGTATATATATTCTTAGTGAATTAGTCTCAAAACCATTATCATTTACATAAAGCAAGTCAAAATTCCTGAGGGTGGTAAAAGATAGTGCTGAAATGTAGTCTATTTCTTTAAGTACATTTATTAATAACTCCTTGGATAATGCCTAAAAGGCTTATTTTGGGCCCTTACAGGGCAGCAAAAGTTCAGGGATTTCTTTGTGTGTGTTTGTGCTGCTTTGAAACTTAGGACTTTTATTGCTTCCTCAAAGTAAGGCTGTTTAATACTCTGGTGGCTGTACAGCTTGTGAAGAGCTGTATACTTGGATGGAAGCTGTAATTTGCGAGCTGGGTCAGAATGGCAAATTTTGAGTTAGAGATTGCAGCTGGGATTTTGGACAGTTATCTACACTTATAAGGAGTGATAGCTACCCTTAAGATGATCTCTTGAGGGAATATTGTTTTTTATTTTTCTGCACCTCTCATAGGAATAGTAAGATCTGCTTGACTCCTTGCCTTTCCTGCCCTAGACTTCAACTGAACTTGAATAGGCCTCACTAAAATTGAAGCCAAATATTGAGAGTCATAAATAAAAGGAAATGAAATTGTACATGGGATTGGCTATTTACCTTTTTTCTTTCAGTTTATAAAATGGGAACATTTGCTTCCATAGTTCTGTGTGAGCCTAAACCTCTTAGTATTGCAATCATATTAATACAGTATCTTAGTTTTAGAAAGTAAAAACTGAGCTGAATGTCAAATTTTAAGACAGTGTAAATCATTTTTTTTTTTCCCAGAGGCAAGGACTACATTCACCTTTCATCTTGATGTGTGTAGTATTTATCCCTAAAGGTCACTTTTCATTGCTTGAGGGGAAACGTGATAGAATACCCTGTGAATTTTATTTTGTAGGCCTTGATCTAGTAAGCGAATGAAGCATGGCAACACCAGAAGGCAACATAGAATCAAGTCAGTCTGTTAAATCCTGGGAAAGATACCTCCTGTGAGATGTTTGGAAGTTAAAGAATGGGAAGGACGAGTGGTTTTTCTGTTTTCCTTGTTGCATTGTGTTTGTTGTGTCTGTTTTTACTCCACTGAAATACCATTTTTGTTTTAAAAATGAATTTGACCAAAAAAATTCATCTTTCTTTCCACGGATCATCACTTTTGGAATTCAAACACGCATTGGTACTTGGGTTTCCAGGTTTGAGAGGCATAACCAGGGACCGTAGAGGGTTTCGGTGGGCTTCTTTCTACTTTGTAGTAATAGAGGGAGGTTGGTAGTGTTGGGCATTCTGCTCATGCTATTTAGCAGGTATTTTTACAAGCCTTGCCCTTTATAAATACTCTGCTTATTGTCCTCCTTCTTGTTGGAGGTATGGTGAAGAGGCCTCTGCTGATAATCAGGTTTACTGGTGTAACATGGGATACTGGTCAGTCTAACCAGTGTACATGTGTTGTCTTCTAGTATCAAAATGGTGCTCTTGATACCTTCTGATATGCTGTGTCTACTTCTGAGGAGGCACTCTCCACTCCCTTCTTTTTTTGCTCTTTGCAAATATGTGGACAGTGTGACCTGCTGCTAATTTGTACATAGCCTGGCTCTGTATATAAATTTGCTCCTTAAAACTGTAGGCTAGTCTGTGCTAGTAGAAAGCTGTTGGTGCTTCATAGCAGTCCCCAGCAACTTAGCTGACTCTCAGAGTATTATACTGTGAAATGGCAATATAAAGAACAAAGTTAAATTCCCTGTCATTAGGCAAATATTTATAAGCAAGTATTTAAAAAAAAACATTCAAGTGCACATTGATTATGTAAAGATGACAGCCGTTTTACTTATGTTGGAAACTGACCTGATAATACTTTAGAAATAACATGAATATTTCTGCTGGTTTAGAGTGGCAGTAAGTTGTTTTCGCAAAACAACATTGGTCAAGTTTAACCGATTTAAAAGAAAAAATCAGGTGTGATCCCACAATCTATATAGGGCTTAATTTAAACAACAAGGACATCGTTTTTCTCATATAATTGCTTGTGCTTAACTACATTTTCTTCCTTTTCTTTACTATATTTCAGCACAAAGACATTAGCAGGCTGCTGGTTTCATGGACCTGTACCACAATGACACAGAGAACACCAGAGCATCAGGACTGAATGAAATTGGAGTTTTTAAAGCTGCTCTAAGAAGTAAATGTTAAGGCAGTGGTTAAAAACAACAGTCTATAAAGGGGCACTTGCAAATTGTGCTATATTAAACCGAAGAAAAGGTATTAGGGAATATTTTATAAAAAATAAACTATTGCAATAAATTATACATGAGATGAGGAGGAAAACGATGTGAAATACACATAGAAGAGCTCACTTGAATTTTATGTATGAAGAAACACTGACAGTAACTTCTTTTGAATGTGAAGTTCTTATCAGTACAGTTTGGACAGGCCTAAAAGGCATGGGATGATGCAGAAATGCTAAATTATTTTTCATTCTTAAACTGTGCTTTCTCCAAGGTTTAGGTTAACTAGTTCAGATATGAGCAAAGGTATTTCTAAAATGGCTCTCCTATAAAACAGCAATAGTCACAGATGCCAAGGCCAGTGTTTCCTTCAGGGTGCCAGTAGAAACAACAGAAAGTAACATCCTGCTGAAAGGATGGCAAAGTGCCCCGCCCTACCCCACAAACAAAATTTGGATCTTTTCTTTCTTTAATAAAGCAGGGCTGTATTATCTTGAATATATGTTTGCTTGTTAGAACATATTAAGATATATTTATTTGCCACTAGTATTTAACATTTTGTGCACATTTTCATAATTACATTCTTATCTTTCAAATTTTGACTCAAAATGGATAGGTTAGTGTTGATCTTGGAGTGCAGATATATACTCCAAGAGCTAGTTCTTAATTCTGCTGAGCTGGAGAGCCTTTTATTATTGTCTGTATCCTTACTGGTTTTATCTAGTTCAGAAAAGGTGACATCGTCTAAATTTTGGTGTGAACCTCTCTCTACAGAGAGCCCCTCCTAAGTGCAAGAAATTCTAACAGGTGTCAGTAGGGCTTGGCCCTGGGGGACAAGTGGCAGGAACAGGATCCTTCAAAACAGTGTCAAACTTTTCATGCATGGAGCATGAATTCTTACTAATAGAGACTGTAATTTTTTTCTTGTCTTTGGTAAATATTATTTTAAAAAACCTTAATTTTTCTTTTTTAGTGAATGGAGAAAACATGAGAAAACCAGATGGACCTGTTAGTACTACATTTGTAAGGCATTTTATATTTGATGGCGCCGTACTTTTAATAATAAAACTGAAGTTTTTTAGTGGCAATACTGATTTATTTTTTAAGCCAGAAAGATAATCCATATTGATTATTACAAAAAAAAGGGAAAATATGCCAAAAAATAGAAAACCGTAAAATTCCTATGAAGCAACGTAACAGATAACTGAGCACTTGGCTCAAGTAGTCCAACTTTCCATAATGTTACTATATAAGTTTGGAATTACCTATTAACCCCAGGCTCAGGATTAATAAAAGGTTCTGGGTGAGTTTTAAACGTTTAATATGTCTATGATTTGTTTTACAACTTGAAGAAAAGGCAGGCAGTCTTGTTTCTAATGAGCTTAATGTAAATTCTTATTATACTGCAAATAATTTAAAGTTTTGATTGCATTCTACAATTGTCTGTTTGAAAAATTCCATATATGGAGTCATTATATATTTTATCAGATCAGAAAAAGTCAGCTCAGGAACTGTAGCAGCAGGGGATTCTAAAGATGACATGAACTATACCTATAGGGGTGCCCTACTCTATGTGGCCTAGAGCTTTGGTTTGGGTCAATCTTGTTCTTTCAGATAACAACACCAGCAGTACCTTTCAGGCTTACTTCAAGAACCAGATAACTCCCAAGCCATGGTGGAATTATATGAGTTGTATAATTAAGATTTTTAATTTTGCTTTAGAATTCTTTATTTGTGTAGAGTGATGGAAATGACCAAGAAGTAATAATATAAAGCAAAAGAATTGGGAGGATCAGGTTTTAACTATGTAAATTGTTTTTTCTCATGGTGTATTCTCAAAGCTGTTGTGTTACAAACCAAATTTTCATTAAAAAAAAAAATGAAACTTGGTGGTATTTAAAATCTAGACATACCATGTTGTTATTTCACTTTCATTGCTTTAGTTGCTTAATATTTAAGCTTTGCTTCATGCTACCTTTTGTCTGTATTTCAATCTTCATAAGCCTATTTTGTTTTGTAGACTTGAATGATAAAAATTGTTTCTCATCTGAAGTATGCTCAGAGTTTTAAATGTTAAAGAATGTTGTGTAACCTTTATTCAATAAAGTCTTTGATTTTTTAAAAAATTAGTTATTTAAAAACCATGTTTACTTTTTAGGAGTTAGATTTTTAAGATTTTTTTTTTTTTTTGGTAACTATTACAATTCAATCACTAGTTATACTTTAGGGAGCTGTTTTGAGTAGCAGTGCTTCCTAAGGAGAACAGCCTGTAGGTTTCTAATCACTAAGAGATTTTATGGGACCTCTTTATGTCCAAGGATAGAGGAAAGATGAACGGTTTAATTAGGACCCTGTGCACAAACATAACTTTTTTTTTTTTTTTCGAGATGGAGTCTCGCTCTGTTGCCCAGGCTGGAGTGCAGTGGCACGATCTCAGCTCACTGCAACCTCTGCCTCATGGGTTCAAGTGATCTGCTACCTCAGCCTCCCGAGTAGCTGGGACTACAGATGTGTACCACCAAGCCTGGCTAATATTTTGTATTTTTAGTACAGAACAGGGTTTAGCTGCGTTAGCCAGGATGGTCTTGATCTCCTGACCTCTTGATCTGCTTGCCTCGGCCTCCTAAAGTGCTGGGATTACAGGCTTGAGCCACCGTGCCCTGCCACATTAACTGCTTTTCCATACAAGCAACCTGCCCTTCAGAGTCGGATGTAATTAAGTATCTACTGCTGAGTTTATTTTGTTTTCTTTTGTTTTAATTTTAAGGTATCCGACTCTTATGGATAAATGGCTGCTTCTTTAAGAGCCCAGCACGTTCAGTGAGAGGTCAAGGGTTTGATCGAAAAATCAGAAACACTTGGTTATCAGGAAAAAGTTAGCCTTTTAAAACCTACAGACAGTTCACAGGACTGACCCAGAAACTTAGGTCAGTGTACTTTATTTTCTGTTTCAGAAAAGTAATCCTTTGGCTGCCTGTTATTCCAGAGTACATGAAGGCTTTAATCTCAAACATTCTCCCATTTCAGTTTATTTAAATGAGTGTCAAAAAGATACCACAGGAATCTGGCTCTGCTAATATCTTTTTTCTCTCAAGTTTCTCACTAATGAAAATGGAACAGGCCAGGCGTGGTGGCTCACATTTGTAATCCCAGCACTTTGGGAGGCTGAGGTGGGTGGATCATTTGAGGTCAGGAGTTCAAGACCAGCCTGGCCAACATGGCGAAACTCCATCTCTACCAAAAAAAAAAAAAAAACAACAACAACAAAAATTAGTGGGTGTGGTGGCTCATGCCTGTAGTCCCAGCTACTCTACTTGAGAGGCTGAGGCGGAGAATGACTTGAGCCCAGGAGGTGGAGGTTGCAGTGAGGTGAGATCACATCACTGCACTCTGGCCTGGGCGATAGAGCGAGACTCTGTCTCAAAAAAAAAAAAGGAAAAAAGGCTGGGTGCGGTGGCTCACGCCTGTAATCCCAGCACTTTGGGAGGCCGAGGCGGGTGGATCACGATGTCAAGAGATCGAGACCATCCTGGTCCACATGGTGAAACCCCGTCTCTACTAAAAATACAAAAAATTAGCTGGGCATGGTGGTGCATGCCTGTAATCCCAGCCACTCAGGAGGCTGAGGCAGGAGAATTGCCTGAACCCAGGAGGCGGAGGTTGCAGTGAGCCAAGATTGCACTATTGCACTCCAGCCTGGGTAAAAAGAGCGAAACTCAGTCTCAAAAAAATAAAATAAAATAAAATAAATGGAACAGAGAGGACAGGGAAGATTAACAAGCCATGTGCTCTTATCTGAGAAGGACTACATGAGACTCATACTGATCCTGGTCATGTATACAACTCCTACAAGATGCAGAGAACGAGACTGATGCAACCCATAGATGCAACTGAAAAATATACTGATGCTGGCCTTCACATAAGAAAGTGTAAGTTGGCCAGGAGTGGTGACTCACGCCTGTAATCCTAGCACTTTGGGAGGCTGAGGCGGGTGGATCACCTGAGGTCAGGAGTTCAAGACCAGCCTGGCCATTAGGGTGAAACCCCATCTTAAAAAAAAAAAAGAAAGAAAGAAAGAAAAGTATAAGTTCATGCCAGGTGCGGTGGCTCATGCCTGTATTCTCAGCATTGAGGCCGAGGCAGGTGGATTACCTGAGGTCAGGAGTTCGAGACTAGCCTGACGAACATGGAGAAACCCTGTCTCTACTAAAAATACAAAATTAGGCCGCAGTGGCTCACGCTTGTAATCCCAGCACTTTGGGAAGCTGAGGCAGGTGGGTCACCTGAGGTTAGGAGTTTGAGACCAGCCTGATGAACATGGTGAAACCTACAAAAAAAAAAAAAATTAGCTGGGTGTGATGGCGCATGCCTGTAATCCCAGCTAGGAGGCTGAGGCAGGAGAATCGCTTGAACCAAGGAGGTGGAGGTTGCGGTGAGCTGAGAACGCGCCAACCTGGGCAATAAGAGTGAAACTGTCTCAAAAAGCCTAAGTTCATTTTTTCTCTTTCAAGTAAAGACTTTTTGTGCTATTCACTGAGGGTGGCGGCAAAATATTACGGAAAATATTTAGGGAAAGTTATAGATTAGTCTCAAACCTTTTGGAAGGCCAAAGGTGGCTGGCCAGTCCATTATGTTAAGATAGGGAGAGAGAGAGAAAATCAAAGGACTTACCCCACACCTATTTGTCTCCACTTTGTTTACTCATGCAAATTTTGTGCTGAGTGGCCTCTCCAAAGGGGAATTACCTGTTTATACCATTTACTCTGGCCTGGAACTTAAAGCTTTTATCATTCGTAAAACTTCTCTCTTAACCATGTTAATTATCCACAAGTGTGTTAACTTAGAACCTTTGTTGTAAAATCTTGACTGAATAAAAGTGAAAGACGGAGGGTCTGGGTTGATTGGTTGCATTTTGCCCTCTGAAAGCAGCCAACGGCCATCCCCAGCCCACTTGTAACAATGTGGTGTGAAAGTGTATACATTCATCCATCCTTGAGTCAGGGTCTGCAGATCAGACTTCCGAAGACGGTGACCCACGTCTCAATTTTTTTTTTTTTTTTTTCCAAATTAAAAAAATAGAGACGAGGTCTCACTATGTTGCCCAATCTGGTCTCAAACTCCTGGGCTCAAGCAGTCCTCCTGCCTTGGCTTTTCAAAGTGCTGGGATTACAGGCATGAGCCACTGCACCTGGCCATGATTCTTTTCTCAGAATAAGACATTATTTGAGTTTAAAAATTTATATATTTATTTTTTGAGACAGAGTTTTGCTCTTGTTGCCCAGGCTGGAGTGCAATGGCACAATTTTGGCTCACTGCAACCTCCACCTCCCGGGTTCAAGCTAGTCTCTTGCCTCAGCCTCCTGAGTAGCTGGAGGCTGTGCTGGGATTACAGGCATGTGCCACCACACCCGACTAATTTTGTATTTTTAGTAGAGAAGGGGTTTCTCTACGTTGGTCAGGCTGGTCCTGAACTCCCAACCTCAGGTGATCCACCTGCCTTGGCCTCCCAAAGTGCTGGGATAACAGGTGTGAGCCACCATGCCTGGCCAGCATATGCTGTTTTTTAAGCATCTTTTTCTCTAGTGATTAGCATGCTGCCAAATCTTTGCTTAATTGGAATGAAATTTCTTTTTTCTTTTCTTTTCTTTTTTTTTTTTTAGACAGAGTCTTGCTGTATCACCCAGCAAGGAGAAGTACTCCTGGGTTCAAGCACTTCTACTGTCTTAGCCTCCTGAGTGGCTGGGATTACAGGTGCCTGGCTAAGTTTTGTATTTTTAATAGAGATGGGGTTTCTCCATGTTGGCCAGGCTAGTCTTGAACTCCTGATCTCAAGTGATCCACCCACCTCAGCCTCCCAAAGTGCTGTGATTACAGGTGTGAACCACTGTGCCTGGCTTGGAATGAAATTTCATAGCCTTAACAATTCCTTTGCTTTGGTACCAAGCAGGTAGTAGGTTGGGGTGAAGGAGAGCACAATTCAGGAAGTGTGCCAGAAGAAGAGAGAGTTGGCCAAACACAGTGGGAAGTCACTGTCTCCAAGAATTAAGAGTACTTTCAGGGTTAGCCCTTTCATCATTGCCTTCTCAGGCAAGTTTGTAGAAGCAGCTTTCGCCAGTCGTGGTGGCTCACGCCTGTAATCCTAGCACTTTGGGAGGCTGAGGTGGGTGGATAACCTGAGGTCAGGAGTTCGAGACCAGCCTGGCCATCATGGTGAAACCCCATCTTAAAAAAAAAAAATAGCAGCTTTCTAAAGGAGGGAAAGTGGATTGGTGATGTTAAAAGAAAGATGTTTTTATGCTAATAAACTGCCCTAGTCTAGAGGTAGGAGACATGGATTCTATCTATTATCAGTTCTGTCAATGACCTTTGATAGCAAAGTCATACAGTAGCCTCAGTGGCAAAATGGCATGTAGAAATCCATCTCATCAAGCTCTTCAGTTCCTACTCAGCCAAGTCCAAAACCTCTGGGGAGATGTCAGGAATTTTTTTTTTTTTTTTTTGAGACAGAGTCTCACTCTGTCTCCTAGGCTGGAATGCAGTGGCGCAATCTCAGCTCACAGCAACCACTGCCTGCCGAGTTCCAGTGATTCTCCGGCCTCAACCTTCTGAGTAGCTGGGATTACAGGCATGAGCCCCCACACCCAGCTAATTTTTAGATTTTTAGTAGAGATGGGGTTTTACCATGTTGGTCAGGCTGGTCTCTAATTCCTGACCTTGTGATCCACCCACCCCCGCCTCCCAAAGTGCTGGAATTACAGGCGTGAGCCACCTCACCTGGCCAGGAATTTTTGTTTTTGTTAATTGGGATATAATCCACTGTTTCTGAGTTTTGTTTAAGCTCAGTGTCTAAGTCCTCTGGATCCTGAGTAGATAGCTCAAAATTTGGGTAATCCTGTAAAATAAGTTGAACTATAACATCATTGTGAAGTGCCTTGAGGTAAAAGAGAAGCCTGACATGTCAATAGCCAGAAAAGCACAGCCAGCGCCTTTAGTAAGACAGAACAGTCTTACAGTCTTACAGAAGACAAAGATGAATGTGACCCTTCACATATCTAGATGCAGCTTTCTTTTTTTTTTTTTTTTTTTTTGAGACGGAGTTTTGCTTTTGTTACCCAGGCTGGAGTGC